TATATGTGTGTAGATTTTTGTACAATGCTAAGACGTAAATCCAACAATAATTTCTTGCAAAAAAGTAATTTAGAAGTCCACCGTAAATCTGGTGAAAACTTTTGCATTAATTTGAAGTAAAAATTTGGCTTTGTGATTCTGTTGATATTTACTTCTATTTAATGAGTGTGTGCCATACCCTCAGTATAGACAACTATACTCTGAGCTAATTCCAGCCCGAGCTTCACCCAATTGTTGAATAGCAATTAACTCGTGGCAGAGCATGTCACTTGCTTATGGATTATCCTATAGGTAAATAACTATGCCAAGGTAGTCATAACATATCCTAAGCTTTGATGCAGTCAAATCATTTAGAGAAGAGACCATTTTAGAAAGTCTATAAAGGCATCATTCCACATACAAATATGGAATAGAAACCTCAAGAGAGAGATTGAGGGTGGGAGAGATGTGTTTAAGAGAAGCCCTTTATCTTCTCATTGCAAAAACCAGTTTAAGTTCTTGCCATGATTGTATTGAGCGAAGTGCAAAAATAGTCTCTTAACTATTTACATGGGGTCGTTTTAATCCCAGAATTCAAATGAGTGGCAAATTAGTTGGCAAACTTTTTAAATTGGGGCACTAGCAGTCCTCTAAAGAGACTAAGTTAGCTTCAATTTAAAGATTCCCGGGATCAACTGGTATACCTATAAACTCTGGGACAAAAATGACACCATGTAATTGGGGACTATTTGACTACTAGTAGCATTTTGGCGGTGCTTCGCTAATGTGGAATGGGATATGCTTTAAGGAGAAGACTTGGAGGCCACTTGAGATTACTTCTGTGTCTTATATTTTACTTTTATTTCAATATTATTCTTTATTTGTTTAACAAGTTAATTGTATTTCTTAATTCACAAAATAGTTAAAAGAGTCATTTTAATTTTTTTTTTGAAAAGCAAATTAGCTTCTTTGCAGTATATTTTATTTCAAATTAAAGATTATATAAACAGAATAAAACAAAAATATAAAATAATTAAAAATTGAAAGTTATTCAGACAACTTGTCTTCAATAGGAGCGATTATTGTGTGCGGAGAGCGCACGCAGCTCTCGGATCACAGTCCCTCCGACCACAGCCGCACATCGCGCTGTATGACAGTGGGTCCGCGATGTGAGGCTGTGATTGGAGAGCGCACGCAGCTTCGTACCCAATAATTAGACCTTCAATAGGATCCTGATTTGCAGATTTAATACATATTAAGAAGCAATTGTCACATTCCATTTATGTTCATCTGTATGGGACAGAAGTTCAGTACTTGGTTCGACAAATCCTTCATCTCAGCTATTGAAAATCAGCTGCAGTTTTTCTTCACATTATTAGCAAACAATCAACAAATTAAATAACAAACCATCAAAAAAATTCTACATTTACAAAACTACCTCCCGCCAAAACCCATGACCTTTGGAGCAAATCTCAACAACCTTGTCAACGAGCTCGAATGAAACTTCCTCGCGAAAAGAAAGCAAACCGTAGTATTCCTCCCATTATACTCGCAAGTGGAGCCGCCCCTCATCCACCGCAACAGCTCCGGCGTGACCGCGGGACGAATAAACCTCGCCGGATGCGCCCCGCCGTGCGACCAATCGACCCATGTAAGACTCCGATTGGCATTCAGGTGGCCGAAGCTCATGGTGATCATTGTGGGCAAGTAATGCTCGTCGACATAGCAGGAAGGATGACAGAAGCGGCGGAAGACGGGGAAAAAGCGGTCGTCGGCGACGACATGGATGGCGAGCGGGCGGCTAAGTTCGAACCATTGGGAGCCTTTGCGCCAGGAGGCGTCGGGAATGACGGGGCGCATGTGGGGGTTGTAGCGGCCGCGGCAGTTGGGGGCGGGGTTGTTGAAGGACTGGACGAAGGAGGTGGTGGAGTTGAGGAGGTAGGAGTAGACGGTGGGGAAATTGAAGAGAGGGATGCAGGATTCGGAGAGGAGGATGAAGCGTTCGTTGGAGAAGTCGAGGAGGGCGTTGGCGAGAAGGCGGCGTTCTGCCTCCATCATGCTCAGTTCTCCCCATTGTACTGCCTGTATGAACGTTATTCCGGTTTTGTCAGCAAAAATAAATGTTGCCATATATTAATTTTATGAGAAATTTACATGTCTGCCTCTTAATTCTTATGTATTTAGACATCTTGCACCTAAACTTATGTTT